TTCTTTTGGCCAAACTTTAACCAGGCTGTGCGGATGTATTGCAGTACGTGTGACACATGTCAACGGGTAGGAAAGCGGGGGGACCACCCTAAGGCTAGGCTATTATCGATGCCTATTATAGGGGAGCCCTTTGCCCGCATAGCCGTTGACATCGTGGGTCCACTGGCCAGGGCTAGTCCATCAGGTAAGAAATACGTTCTTACCGTGGTGGACTATGCCACCCGCTATCCAGAGGCAGTAGCGCTGTCTAACATAGAGGCAGAGACGGTTGCTGATGCCCTGGTTAGAATTTTTACTAGGGTCGGGTTGCCTAAGGAGATTCTCTCCGACCAGGGAACCCAATTCACCGCTATGCTCACCCAGCAGCTGTGGAAGGTGTGTGGCATTAAGCCGTTACTTAGCTCACCCTACCACCCACAGACTAACGGTCTCTGCGAGCGCTTTAACGGTACCCTCAAACAGATGCTGAGGACCTTTACAGACACTTGCAGAGATTGGGAGAGATTCCTGCCTCATCTATTATTTTCTTATAGAGAGGTGCCCCAGGAATCTACTGGGTTCTCCCCCTTTGAGCTGCTGTATGGGAGAAGGGTCCGCGGACCCCTAGATCTCATTAGAGGCCACTGGGAGGGGGAGACGGAGCAAGAGGGGACCCCCATAGTGCCATATGTTCTGGAACTCTGGGACCGCATGGAGAAACTGTCCCTGATGGTAAGGGAGAATCTCCAGGCGGCCCAGGGGAGACAGAAGAGATGGTACGATCAGGGTGCCCGACAGCGGGTCTTCCAGGTTGGGCAAAAGGTATTGGTGCTCAAACCTGTGAAGGCCAACAAGATGCAAGCATCTTGGCAGGGCCCATACAAGGTAGTGGCGCAGATCTGCGACACTACTTACTTGATAGCCAGCTGTGCAGATGAGAGGATCCAGCGGTCCTTTCATGTGAACATGCTGAAAGAGTACCAGGAGAGACCTGCAGCAGTATGTGCCCCAGCCGCAGATGATTCTGAGAATTTACCCCTTCCAGATCTATTAGAAAGGGATTCCCAGACTGACCTTACTACCTTGGTACAGCTAGGGGACCGGTTGAACCCTACAGAAAGGGTACAGGCGCAGCAGTTGTTATGGGAGAAGCAGGCGACGTTCTCCCAGGAACCAGGTTATACCACCCTAGCTGTGCATAAGGTAGAGACCCCTGGACAGACCCCGTTACGACAGCCCCCCTATCGTATCACTGAAGCAGTCCGTGAAGGAATGCGGAAGGAGATACAGGAGATGATCCAGCTTGGAGTCATCGAGCACTCCGACAGCCCTTGGGCCTCACCTGTAGTGCTGGTGCCCAAGAAAGATGGGACCAACCGGTTCTGTGTGGACTACAGGCGACTCAACGAGCGGACCACCACTGACGCCTACCCAATGCCCCAGGTAGACGAATTACTGCCAGGGGGCGATATCTGACCACCATAGACCTGTGTAAGGGCTACTGGCAAATCCCCCTGGCCGAGGATGCTATCCCCAAGTCGGCATTTGTCACCCCATTTGGCCTGTACCAATTTAAGGTCATGCCTTTTGGGATGAAAAATGCACCGGCTACCTTCCAACGGATGGTGGATAGACTCCTAGATGGCTTCCAAGAATTTGCCTGTGCATACTTGGACGACATTGCGATTTACAGTGGGTCCTGGGAGGAACACCTGGTACATGTAGGGGTAGTGCTGGATAAAATTCGGGCCGCTGGCCTGACATTGAAGCCAGAAAAGTGCCATCTAGGGATGGCTGAAGTACAGTACCTGGGACACAGAGTGGGGTGCGG